GCCAGGTTGGATGGAGCTTTAAGCAACATGGTCTAGTGAAAAATGCCACTGCCTATGGCAGGGGAGTTGAACTAGAAGGTCTTTAAGAGGCCCTCCCAATTCAAACCATTCTGTGATTCTATAAGTATCTGTGGGATAAGGCCCTGTCACACGCTATTCCTGAGCCATCCTTGAATATAATCTGAAATAGCAGCATTTCCTAGAAAGGAGCAATGCCTCCCGACTAGGGAAATCACCGGCAATTAAATAGTCTGTACTGTGGCATGCCAGTGCCTCAAGCCTGTGGCATGGTCTTGCTTTATTTCTTGACAAAATTTAAATGGATCAAATCCATAAATTGTCTTTTATGATAATTTAAGAGGACAGATTAGCAAAGCCCAGGGTGAAATTTCATACCAAAATTAGAGGAAGAGGGGTCTGGCTCAGCATCAGGACATGACTGTCACAAGATTTGAGGAAGGCATCAAGTTTCAGTACTTCTTATGTGTGAATCAGTGAGCTGTTAGGATATTTAGGAGAGGGTACTTGAACCTGAATATGATTATTGCCATATCAAAGCTGCCTGCAATAAAGAGTAGCCCTGTTGTATAAGTAGAAACAAGCGGATATCTTTCTCACCAGACAAGTTTGACTTTATTTTGGTATAAAATGGAATAAAACCTTCTGAAATATCAGTAACTTTCAGAAAGTGGAAATACTGTTTCCCATTCGGATTTACCCTTGGCTCCTACAGTAACACCCCTGAGGACATTTGTTCATTTGTCCTTCTGGAACACTTCTCCCATCTGTGTTTTCCCGGCTCCATTTCTGGCCGTGTGCATGTACAGCACGCCACGTACAGTATGGTGTGTGACACACATTAATACATATAGATAGCCTTCTGCATCTGACCTTACAAACTGTCCACTTCAGCATTGTCATTCTATAAAATGTCCGACTGCAGTCCAAGAAATGCATTTTAAATGTGAATGCAAACATTTCTATTACTGATAACACCAGCGCAGCATTTTTTGCCTTGCTGGGATTAGAACCTTGATAGTTAAAGTTACATTGGAATAATGACACTCCAAGGTCACGTCCTTTACAGACATGGCAAAGGAAGGAAAGGCCTTTGCTATGTCTCTGCTGATAAAATTAAGAAGGATTGTTCCTTGTGTTTGGTGAGATTACATTAAAAGTGAAAGAATATATTTGGGACCCATAAATATTTTAGGTCACCGAAACTGGGAGAAATTTATGCGTTGCACTGCATTACAGTTGTATTTCATTCATGCTGAAAGTCAGATTTTAGAAAACAATCCGAAACCTGATAATGATACAAATAAATGTCTCTTTCCTCAGTGAACAGCCATCTCCTCCCATAAACAGGAAAACAGCTGCTGTTCAGCTAGGGACACCTTAAAAAAAATTTTTTTTAAAAAGTACCATGATCTGCAAAGAGAAACTTGCAGGAAATTCCAGCTTAGAAGGCTAACTCTGTCTTTATATGCTTCACTGTGCTTCACTTTCATGCTTTGTAAAATGGGGGTAATAATCTTTATTGATCTGTCTACCTTTTAGCAATGCATTAAAAAGAACTTAAATGGTATCTTTACAGTCTTTTGAACAGTCTTGATATATGCAGCTCTTACAATACAGCTTACTAGCTGGACTTGCCATTTCACCAGGTTCTCCCACAGGAGAGCTGTTCTACTTTCCTTTATGGTTCTCTGGTCTTCCTATGCTAAGTTCTTCTAACTAGGTAAGTTTGGTAAATTGATGATGATGACTTCAGCACCTACCACTTGTTACCTGAGCATCTAAACCATAGCTAACCAAGTGCACTCTTTTTACTCCGGGAGTTGGTTTAAGTTGTCACATTGTACTCCACAGCTGAGCCTACCTTGAGGCACACCATGGGGTGCAACTGCTGAAGGAGCAGTCAGTCATTAGGATCCTGACACTTAATTGAGTCATGTCTTAGCTTAATAATGGAAGGAGGAGGATGATCCTCTGATAAGGAGTGAGGACTGCCTGGCCCTCCAGCTATGCCTGAGTTACTTGGATATCGTTGCATCATGCTTTCTTAAGGATGGATTTTCTGGGGTTGTATATCTGATGATTTAAATATGCAGAGGTCTTCACAGATCTCTGTTACTCTTCACCACACATTTTGTACCAGTATCTATTTTATATCTTCCACGTGAGATTCAGAGTTGTTCCTCTAGTTTTGCACTTGCACAAAGTAACTTAGTGGTCTGCCCACAAAGCTAACTGATGTTTTCACTAAACAGTTCTTTTAGAGCTAATTTTACACTGTACTGTACAGAATTTTTATGTTTGTTTTGGAGACAAACTTGCTTTCAGGTTTCATTAGAAACACTTTAGCCTATTTTCATGAGGAAGCTAGTCTGTGACTAGTGCTGTCTATCCTTCTCTTCCTCTTTCCATCCATCTTAATACTGAAGTATTAATAGCTACTTAATACCTACTTCATGGCTTTGAAATAGCTGAACAATTTCAACAAAATTTATCAGAAACAAAGAGATCTATAAAGATGATTAAGCTCCTAAATGGAATGAGAATCAGCAGACAGACTGAGGAAAGCTACCCTGTTACTGTCTCCGCTGAGGGAAAAGAGGGAAAACTCAGCCTTAATCTACCCTATTTCTCAGCAACCAAGTAGGTCTACACTGGAAAATGATAAGGGCCACAGGGCAACTGGGATCATACTAGAGGGGGTTAAAAGAGACAATGCAGTGTTGTGGATGCTGAGAATAAAGAGGAGGAAGCAAGGTTTCTGGAGAGGAAAGACTGGAAAACTTAAAATGGGGTAGATGTTTTGGCATACTCTGATAAAGACAGAGGAGATGTGGTGGTGGAAAGGGATGTCTTTTGCTTTGTTTTTTACTTTTCCTGTTGCAATAATCCTATGACTCCAGCTTCATCTACTCCAGCTTCATCTCTTGCTGTTTGGAAAAAAAATAAAAAAGAAAAAGGTTGGGTTTAGTCCTAAAACTTGTACAAAGAATCCTCCCACAGTGCAACTTTTTTTCAGCCTAGCAGCTTATGGATTGACAAGCTTTCTTACAACATCTGTTTGACATCTCATCCTAATATTAGTTTTACAGGCACATTCACATTTTAGGAAATCACTGTATTCTCAAGTCTGAGATGTCACAAGTGTCTCTTTCTGCAAGTACTTGCCCCAGAAATGTTAGCTAATGTATTTTATCTAACATCAGCCCTCCTGTTGTGTTGTACTTCTCAGTTGTCATCTAAAACCAGCTGCATTTTTATGAATGTATCTTAATAAGGCATGTCCTGAAAGGCACCAGTATCTCGCTGTTTCTTCCTGAGATCACATGGGAGTTATAGGTGGTCATCTAGAGTACTATGTATCAGCAAGTCAAGGAAAATTACACAAGCACTGTTAGTAAGATTGTATGGATGACTTGCAGAAAGCAAGGCCAGAAGACTGATATTTTTATCTATTTCACTGTGTGTTCAAATGAGAGGTGGGAACAAGTGTGGCCCAGGATTTTTTTCATACACTCTCAGCCACAGCAGATTTGTTGCAGATGACAGTGAATGGTGGTTAAACTTACAGGTGATATGTGGCATAACAAATGAGTTTGAAAGTTTTCATCATCCCTGTCTCTCTGTGCTTATTTCACCTAAGTTTGATTTAACATGCATAAAATAAGTAATTACAAATGGCAAACATATGTGGCATGTGTGAATTTTCCCTATGTTGTTTTTTCCAGATTATTGGAACAATCCCACTGATGCCTAATCCAGTCCCCTCCAGCCAGGCAGCAGGTGGAGCTCAGGGACTTCAGGTGCAGCCAATAACTCCACAGTTACTGACCAATGCCCAAGGTCAGATCATCGCTACCGTCATCGGCAACCAGATACTCCCAGTGATCAATACCCAGGGAATAACACTATCACCACTCAAACCAGGCCAGCAGGTAAAATGTCTGTTGCTTGAATGATTACCAAAACCGATGCTCAGAAATCTACTCCTCATGGACACTCTTGTGGCCTTTCTGAAAACTCCCATTTCTTTATCATTTTTAATAACAAAAGATGAATTCTGTCATACCTAGTGTATTACTGCATACATGTAGTTATTAATAATGGCATATAATTTATTTATACATTCAAGGCTTATCCAGTTATTTTTATTTCTTTTCAATGTCAATAAAGGGCCAACTGAGACATTTTCTGCAGTGAAAGTGCAATGGGAATATAAGATATGGGAGATCCATCTGGCCTATAAAGCTCAGTTCCTTGGTTAGTGGTCACCCTGTAGACTAGGGCTTGAAATAATTTGAAACATGCAGGGAAAAAAAGAGAAAATATCAAATCTTATTAGTCTCTTCACTGGAAAATCAGATATGATTGTGTATATTTGCATATACAGAAAATACTTTAGGGAAATTATTATTCAGTGTAAGGCAGCAGGTAGTTCATAGACTTAAGAATGGGTGCAGTGACCACACTGGGGTCCAAAGAGATTTCTGCAGTTGGTTTTGTAGTACTCTAAAGTCAAATTCATTAGTTTTGCCTACATGTGTAGAGCAAAGAATTGTAGTCCCACCTGTTTTCTCTGAAAGGGAGGCAATTGAGGATGGAAAATACATCAAGTGTGATTGCCAAAAAGGTGCTTATAAAAATGCCCCCCACTTAAATGCTTAGCTTAGCATTCCTGTTGCTGGTGGTGCTTGTTTGTGAGTCCTACCTACACCTCCAGGCACAGGTAGCAGCCTTTTGTATGCTTCTGAGAATTCCAGGCCCCCATGAACTCCAAACTGATGACTTTTTTTAATTACTACTTTTTCAAATTTAGAAGTAGAGAACCAATGGATCTCTAAGGTGACTTGTTTGTTTGTTTTGAAAACTTTTCATATCCAAGTGGTTCCACACTCTTTTTTCCATCCTATCCTCTGCAGTACCTAGGAGAGGCATTTTCCAAAGCACTTGTCATTTATCTAACTCTATTTTCTTTAATGGGAGCAGACTTGCACTGCTGGCAAGTGCTTTTGCAATTGTTGCATGTATGTGGTTTCAAACAAAGCAGGATGGATAGGAGGGCAGGCTCTGTGTTCTCCACCACAGAAAAGCCTGACAATTGAATATGAAACTTGGCTGTTTACACTGAGTTTCCTGGAGGGGGGGAATTTCTTTTTGAGCCAGTCCCCTGAAGAGATTAGATCTTTCCCTCCTTTATGGGAGAAACTCTGACAAATCATAGCATCCTGAGATCCCATTTGAAAATATTGGAATTTAGAAGTAGAGAGGAGGATAGAGGACCTGTATTATTCCCCAAGACATTCTTACCTGCAAAGCAACACACCTGCAACAAAGCAACCTCTTCTAGGCAATGTGTGTCTGTGGAGCAGAGGGTGGACAGAGTTGTGACCATTTTCTGCACAGCTTGTAGCACTGGGCTCACATAAAGGGACAAACTGCTAAAGGTTGCAGCTTGCTTGAATGAGCAGGGGTGCAAGGTAGAAAGCACTGTTTAGCCATATGGTGCTGTACTGTACTGCTTCACCCAACCTCTGTGCTCATGTGCAATGATCAACTGGCAGAGACCATCAGTCTGCAGAGAACTGGTTATGTCCAAGAGCCAAAGATGTTCCCCATTACACTGGCCTACCCAGAACAGCTATATATGTAGAAAACACTATTTCACCAATACCAGTTTCACAGGGTTCAGCTTCTGCCTCTTACATGGAATCCTGAGGTCCCAGGGGTTGCAGGAAGGGCCACCAAATAACATAGTCTCCTTTCCATGGATCAGGTTCTCTAGGAGCCCGATCAAATCGGTATTTTTAATTGGAGAAGGTAAAAAAATGGACTGCAAATGCTACAGGACAAAATAGTACACTTTACGATTTTTATAGGAACCACAGAAAATTATTTCTGTGTATTTGTGCTCCCTCTACTGGCTCTTATGGTTTTACTGAAGGAACTCAGGAAATTCTGCCATTGATTTCAGTGGGAGCAGAAAAAGAGGTATGACAGCTAGATTCCTCATAGGAATAATGCTGACAGACAGTGAAAAACAATTGAACTAGTGCTATACAAACTGTCATATCATTTGAAAAGTAAATAGAATTACATAAAGTTTAAGGAGATCCTGAATTTCTTTTATTGCCTGGCTAAAGACTTAGCCAAACTCCAGTGTTTAGCTAATGACAGCATATTTAGTCAATGTAACTTTAGTCACTTTCAGAAGAACTGAGTAAGTGCATAAACCCAGAGGGCTCAGCA